CCCCTTTCGATTTCTGAAAAAAAAATCACAGCAATGGTCCCCTCTTGAAATTATAATTTTGACTAGATGAATCATAGTTCTAAACCGTACCAATTGGCACCATTTGCCCTCTTAAATACCAATTTTTTCAGGGCCCTTAAACGGGCCCCGAACCCCACGCCGCGGACCCCCCCACCCCCCACCCCCACCCCCTTCAAATAATCCTGGATCCGCGCCTGCTTTGTACCGGTGAAATTGGTCCCATTCACTGCGAAATCAGTGTTTAGCTCCTAAACACGTTTCTAAGCGCCTGATTTGTCTCATTTTTTCAATGGGTTTAGCTTGCTAGCTCCTAAGCATGCGTTAAACCTGAATATGTTTGACAGTATGGCACGTTTCGGGGAGACATGAACTTTATCCCTGATTAGCCCCTGGGTGCCAAGCACAGCCGGTACCATTTATGATAATAGAAATGATAATCTTTACAAGCTCTAGCACATTTTACGAAAGTTTAAGACCAGACAAATACATAAGTAGCGCGAGTAAAAACATATTTGGAAGTAGTAATAAGGAATCGTAATAAAATGCACTTTTTTACCATGCTAGACCGAAAACATGGTCTGGACCTAGGGTTGCAGGGAGGTTTTAGCCATTGCTAATGATACCCTTACCGTCAGCATGTCAGGCCGAAAACTAAGATATTATAATCACCATCCTTTTCGTATTCCACTCAACGCCAGGAGAAAGCGTGCTAATCTGTCAGTCTGATTGCATTCAGCGGGACTCCCCGTGGACTTGGTGCGCACAAGCTGGTACGACAGATTAATTGTGAACGAACCCTACATGACAAATACCAATGGCTGGCTGGATTGATTATCATTCATTTATGTTATGTGATGTAAATGCAGAATGCATTAGAAATTCTGCGCGTACCAGTTCGTCTACAAACGCACTTAACACCAGATTCAGTGACAAACATTCCTAACTGCAGAATTAAAATCAGAACACTTGTAATTACTGTGTGGATTTGCAGGTAGAGTTTTAAAATCAGTTTGGGAGTGAAAGTATTTTAAATTACACCACTAATGTCAACTTTGAAGACAAAACACCCAACTGGAAAAATTTAATGTTATGAATAAAAAGGTGAATCCAGGAATGGAAAATCCAGGCTATTTCTTTTGCTTAGTACATGTATGAAGAGAAAATCGGTGTAGCGTGCCGTAGAGTCCGGCCCTTTCAGAGTCCTGCAGATGAACAGTCTGAAACAGTGTTAAATACGCAGCTAGTATTTTGTTTACCTTGTAATGTTTTTTAGCGGTGCGTCTCAAACATCTTTTAGCGTTCAACGTTGCGCCAGCTTGGTACTTTCCCTCTAATAAATACAACCGCACCGCTTTAGGAGCTATCGCGAGTTTACTGCGAGTAAGATGAACCCTCCATAAATATATAGGTCTCGTGTGTGAAGAGTGAAAATTCCCTGAGGCGTACCCATTAATACACGGGTGTATATCTTTACATGGGTTTAGCTTTTACGTTGGTTTATCTAGTGAATGCAGTAAAATACACCCAGCGTAAAATGAGATTACCCATCGAAAAGTTTTCACTAAATATCATGATAAAATAAAAAATAACATTGGGATATCGATAAAAAGGGCGAATCATAGTTTAAGAATTTGTTTATAGAAATACTCTGAAATGGGGTTCCTGTGTGATACGAACCTGTTTACTCACCATATCCATATCCATATCAGCTGCTGGATAGCCTCTATTCCATCCCTGCATCTCTGCCACTGTACCACGAAGGAAGCTGTGCCGAAAACTCGAAACACGGTGACTCTTATTGTCAACGCCTTTTCGTGTTCCAAGTAATACAATATGAATATTGATGACTATGTTTATGAACACTTAATACATTTATAAATATATAAATTAGAGGACAAGCACGGACTCTGAGTTTTGCTATAGTTGTAACGTGACAGAAAGTCCGTGTAATAGAGAGTCCGGGAGACCCTCTATTACACGGACTCTCTGTCACACTAGAGGGACCCTATATTTTAATGAGGACTCCCGGTTTCAGAACTTTTCAAAGTTTTGTGCTGGTTAAATAGTTTTTTATACATGTTTAAGTTGAAATAGAAATAAAATCAAATTTTAATTTTAAAATTATTATAAAAATTATATAAAAATATTAAAATATCAACAGAGAAAGGATAAATAATGTTTTCTTTATTCATAATACTGAGACGAAGTAAAGTTACTACAGGCTAACAATATCATTATTGGTGAAATACAAGGATAGCTATATGTGAACATCGATTGTATTTGATAGATGTATTGATAGGGTAAATGAGCACCATTATATAATATAATATAATATAATATAATATAATATTCGTTTAAATTGTCTTGCTTTTTGCTAATTCTCGGCATCAGTACTAAGAAAATGCCTAAAATGTCTAATTCTAAAGTTATGCTACAACATATAAATTTGCTTCAATAGTTAACACTATAATTCGTCCGCAAAGATCAATTTTACGCAACATGTATGTTATTAATAGACACATACAGTGCTCACATGCTCAATTATGGAACATTTCGAAAGATAAAGATATAATCATTGCTTCAAAAATGTATTAATCCCCCCTCCAAAAAAAAAAAAAAAAAAAAAAACTTTGGTAAAGCTGGCTGTAGCAATAACGAACAATTTTCAAAAAATTTCGGAAGCGGAAGAACATCTCTAAGTAATTCACAACAGGTGTTGTGTAACAGATCTAAGCTTAATCAAAGTCACTTGTACCTTTTTAGATCAGTCTCTGGTGCTTGCTGTTGAAGAAGGGTGACAAAGTCAATGCCTTGTTTTAAAGCCCACGGGGGTACACTGGATGAGCTGAGACAAGCTTTTATCGAGGAGTGGGCAAATCTCAGCCACAGGTACACTGAGCATCAACAGAGTCAGTGCCTGGAACAATGGATCATGTCTATGGCAGTTAATTCTTCCTACGAGATACCGTCACTGTGATAAAATAACTCATTGCATAGCATTACCTTCGCCATTCCAGGCTTCCTTGAACATTAAATTTGCTTTCCCATACAAATTGCCGCTAATTTACCAAGTTAATTTTTAAAAATCCCATATATACTGTAATTTGAACAAAGTATTATATTAAAACACTGATGTGCCTGTAAAACAATGTATTTTGAAATCGTTTAAACTCTGAAATAGCAGATAAAATATCCTTTTGAAATATTTCATCATTTTAGCAAGA